TTGGGGGTCAATGTTTGAAGCAATGTCTCTGGGGAGGGGAGGGTGAGGCGTGGGAGTCTGTCAGTCTCAAACCTGCAGTAGAATGTGTTTAACTCGTTGGCCAGGTCTTTGTTTGCTTCAACAGTGAGTGCGGGGCGTTTGTAGCTGGTGATTTCCTGCAGGCCCCTCCACACTGACGCAGGGTCGTTGGCTGAGAGCTGTTCTTCCAGCTTCTGGGAGTAGATCCTTTTAGCTGCTTTGATCTCCTTGGTCAATGTGTTCCTGGCTTGCTTGTACAGGGCCCTGTCACCACTTCTGTAGGCGTCCTCCTTGGCCTTACGAAGATGTTGGAGTTTAGGAGTGAACCATGGTTTATTGTTGTTGTATGTGCAAAAGGTCTTCGTTGGCACACAAACGTCTTCACAAAAACTGATGTATGACGTCACAGTGTCCGTGAGCTCATCCAGATTCTCAGATGCAGCTTCAAAAACAGTCCAATCAGTGGAGTCGAAACAGTCCTGCAGTTCCTGCTTTGCTGCGTTAGTCCACTTCTTAGTTAGTTTTAATATTACTCTTATTATTCTTTCTGGGTCACAAAATATTTTCAGGCGAGAATGTAACCGTGTAAACCGCAAATATCTGCTCAGTTTATCAAGACACCACATATTTTCAAAAGCGCTCCGACGTTTTCGGAGACGTCTGTTACCCACTAGCTCCATAGTTAGCTGGGGGCAAGGCTCACTAGAGCCCGTGAGAACATCCGACTCCCAGCAAATCGTTTTCAAACCCACCGCCGTCTTTCGCTACTCAGGTTAAACATATATAAGTCACTTTGATAACGTAAAAATGTTATTGTTTGTTTGTTTTTTTAGTATTTTATTTGTTCCTGAGTAAATCGGTTTGGCTGAGATCAAAGTTATAGTTTTTACACAGCTGAATAAACATCAAGCAGACAACTGATTATCAGAAGTGTGAGATGCTCGAGAGTATACTCAGGTGTCCTGTTATATTTTAGATAGCAAGGAGTTTATTAAACTTCACCGAAACAATCTGCGAATTTTATTAAAATGTAATAAACTATCATTTTGTCTTTATTTTTAGTTAGCACATACCTTAAACACTTAAAGCTGTAAACTAATGATAGTTATATAAGAGCAGATGCATGCTGGTGCAATAAGCTGTACGTTTTACGTCCAATGGATGCATGATCTGATTAGTCGACTAATCGCAAAAATAATCGGTGACTAGTCGACTATCAAAATAATCGTTTGTGGCAGCCCTATTTCCCACTGTGTTTACCTGTGTTTAGCTCAACTGTTTTGCTCTTTGGCAACTGTGGATAGTTCAGTTCAAAGTTACAAGTCACTGTTTTTGCTGTCTATGTTTTACTTAGATTTTTCATCACGGTCATTTGTTTTAAAAGTATTTATTTTAAAACTGTATGGGTCAAAGGGCCAAGTCAAGTTTTAAATGCCAACATAGAAATGTGGCTGTTTGATTTACAGAATTTGACTTCTAAACAAAGTAATCAAATCGTGTGTACGTGTGACGTCACACTCACGGACAAGCGCGGAGCAAGTGACTCCGCGTGAGAGGAAACAAATCTAGTCATAGAAATTACGTTATTATTATTATTATTATTATTATTATTATTATTATTATTAAATTTAAAATTAATTTAGTTATTAAGATAAAGCAGTAGGGCAAAAGGGAAAAAAAACAGCATTTGTCATTTTTTAGAATAAAGTCAAAATACTAATTTTATAATAAAAATAAAATAATATTTTGAGAAACAACATTACTTCAACAACATTACTTCAAGTCGTTTCAAGAACTATGAACCAGTAAATACTGCTCCTTCGTTCTTGTTTTAAATGCAGCAACAGTTCAATTTCCAGTGAACTTACATTTTGACATTTTTAATTGATTACAAATAAATAAATAAACATTTGTATGAACAGAGCCTTTGCACTTTGCGCTACGTCATATCCACAAGCGGGAAGTACTGCTCGCTCACTTCCTGTTTGAGGAACCATGACCTCCAGGAGAGATAAATTTGTGCTTGAGGAGCAAGAAAAACAATATCGCGAACATTGTTGTCTGCCTAAGTGCACAGGGAAGTAGACACCGGAAGTAGACACCTTTCGCGCATGCGGGGTACCGATCGAGTTTCCGGTACGGATCAGGTAGTGACACAGGGCCGCGATGGGCCACGCTATGAATTCTGGGACACAGCTTCTTCTTCTTTGAGGTTTAACGGCAGCTTGCATTCTTGTACATGCAGTGCTGCCATCTTCTTATT